AGCCCAAGGTTCCAAATATTGTTATCGAGGCATTAACTGCCTTACCCACACTGAGCTTCCTCTTATGCCTAAGGTTGTACATGGTGCTGTTAAAGTTCCAATTTTGAACTGTGCCCATCGTTGAAGAGGGTGCCAGTGTCTGAGCCAATATCTAGCGCTGGAGAAACAATGGTGGGCACAGTTGCATGCGATCTAGTAGGAGGACCATTTCAGCGTGGATCTTCCCAACCGGAATAACAGGCCCTAGCTCGGGTCATGCTACTCTGGGTCCAATTGTCGACTTAAGGGGAACCTATTGGACAACGTGACTTTAAGCAGTCGTACACTTATAGAATCGATTCCCTAGGTGGACCTTCGTCATTCTGTCAGTTGACCTTTCCGAGCTAGGAGCTGTGATACCCTCCACACACTTCTCGAGGTAGGGTTCATCTTTTTCTTTGATTTTCCCTTGTTTCAACTTGTAATGTTTTAATTTCCTTCTTTGGCCTTAAGCGGCGATGCACGTCTGTGCACTTGGAGGGGAGGTCCATCATCTAAGGAAGGAAGCTCATCGGAGGAGTGCTGAACTCCAAGAGGCACGACAACTGAATGTCGAGCTCCTGCACTGGGGTCTAGCTGTAGAATTCAAGGTAGTAGCTACTTTCGATCACAGAGCTTGAGTTTTTTGGCTGTTGATCACTACTGCCACTTTCGAGATCTTTCTATGTGAACAATTGAGCTCCAATTCGGAAGAATTAGCCTCTTTGCAGCAAGATTTCGATGTCCAAGCTGACAAGCTAATCTGTTTTGAAATCGACAAGGTAGTTTTGATGACGTAGCTAAGAGAATCTCATGCTATGATTGTCGACCTGAATAACTCCCAAGCTGCTGAGTGCCGGTTGGTTGAAGAGAAACTCAAGGAAATTGAGAAGGCCAAGATGGAGGCCGCCAAGGCATTTGTAGACAGGTTCTTTAACTTCGCAGACTAGGCGATCGAGAAGTTTTTTGACCTTGACCTCGATCAATTTGAGCGTAGGTTTGACCTTCCTCCTGGCGACCCTTTTGATGCTACCTCACCTGCCAGGCAACCATGATGGTATTCTTTTCTTTTTTTTTTTAAAAGTGTAACTCTCCTTATTGATTGAAATGAAGAACACTTAACCTGCTTCTTATATTGTTGATTGCTTGCTGTGTTCTCCCCTTGCCCTCTACTCTGGCAAATACCTTGGCTACCTCGGTTATCGAGGCTCCTTGAAGATCGTGGTCTTCCACCAAAACTGCCACTACCTTCCTCGAAGTGTGTTACTAGCTATCTTGAAGTGCCTTCCTCATCTTTCGCAGTTGTTAGATTTTTTTGCCACCTCTTCACCTATCATAGAGTCATTGAAGACCCCTTTATCACTTCGATTGCTAAAGAGGTTTCTAAGTGTCGCGAAGAATGGTGCGACGCAAGGTTGTTGCGACTCCAGGTTCCTTAATGACTATGCCTTGTTCCTACAAAATGAGCCCCTAGCCATCTACGCTTTCTCGAAGACTGCGCCTGCTCAGTTGAACTATGCAATTGACATAGAGTCTAACTATCAGATAGGCGCAACTCAGGATTTCTACGCTCCTTTGATTTCATAACTATCTCGAGGACCGCATCTACTTTGCTGTCAGGAACCTTGAAGACTGTAGCTCCTTGCATACCATTATCCCTCAGTGATCATGCTCTGCGTTGGCATCTATGCCTATCGCAACACCCTTGACTTCTGCGAGTTTCAATTTTTGCCATTTATCTTTTGTCGTAATGACACTCGAAGACCATAGCTCCTCGACTGTCGTGAGCCTTGGATACTTGGGCTTTGATTGTCTTAATTTATTGCCTCAAACATTGTAGCACCTTGATTTCCACTACTAATTGGTTGTTATGACTATTGATGTGAATGAAACCTTGACTAGTGTTACTGGTGGATTGGGGTGACTCCTCGACTGGCGTGTTTCCTAGGCTACCACACTCACCATAGGTGCCTTGACCTTCTTGACTGTCGTGCCTAACTCAACTACTCACCCCACTCCCCCATTGCCTATAAATAAAGGCCTCCACTCACCCAATCCCCCACTTCTCAATTTACTTTCTCAAAATTTTCTCACCCCCTCTTCCTCTCTCAATTTCCTTGCCCTATTTTGTTTTGCAAGGTCTTTGTCATTGTTCTTCTCTGATAACCTACTGTCCTTTTCACCCCCTTTTTTCCTCAACCTTCTTCCTCCTCTTTACTTACCCAGTGGCCAATTCTCGTCTTATTCGCGCAGGCTCAATGCCTCTGCCAGAGGAGTGGTTCCGTGCCTTTTTTCTTGGCACTAATATGGATTAGTTTTCTGAATGGCTCCAGATCTACATTCCTGAGTTGGACGGTCCAGCCCACCCGTTAGTTTTGGAGCCCTCTATGCCCCTTAAAGAAGCTACTTATCTAGATCTTGAGTTTTTGTTTCGCTTGCCCCTATAGAAGGGTGACTACCCCTACTTTTTTTATTGATTTTATCTTCTCTTTCTACAGACTGGTTCGACTATTCTGATCATTTTCTTGTGAATGAGGTTTTTTACAACATCTTGGAGTCCACCCACATCCTTCCTACCATAGAGATGTGGTGTCTAATTTAAGTCAATCGGTGAAAATTGAGCCTAATTCCTTTGATTTCTTGTTGGAGCCGTGAGACTTGCATATTTGTTATTGGCTGGGGTAGGTTTACCCCTACCTTGGAGGACTTCTCAATGCTACTTCATTTGCCAATCATTGGCAACTATAGTCATAGTGTTGCGGCTCCCCATTCCTGCAGAGATAGTCGTAGTTGCCTATTGTCGGATTATTCCACTACTACCGTGAAGCCTGGTGGGAACAAGTGCACTTGTATAGACTAGGCGAGGCATTTTTTTTAGACACATTAAGCATTCAAAGGGCAAGTGCCACGACCATGTTGGTTTCGATGGCCCCGAGTTGGAGAGTGACCATTTTCTGGCCGCTTCCATCGCGATGTGGTTGATGCGATATGTAACCCTAGAGGCCCCCTCTGACGGCATCAGCAACAACATTTTTCCTTTGGCTGTTAGACAGGCCTACGATTGTGCAGGGAAGAACTTATATTATTTTCTCGACAAGTTGCAAGAAGCGACTTCTACTTTGGTGGGAGATATTACATTGGCAGTTATGCCTCTGCCCTTTTCTTGAAGCTCTTTTGTATGTGTTCTCTCCTAGTTGCAAGAGATCTTATGGTCCTTTTTTGTGGGGAGCACGATTGTCTGGGTGTTCCATATCCAAGCTCATGGGCCTCCTCCTCGACTAGGAGTCACATTTTGTTTTTTGCCTTTATGGACTTGATTTTAATCGTACACCTAAGTTGTAATACTACTTGGTAAAGTTCGAGATTGAATCCACAGGGAGTTACTTGTTAGAATTCAAAATAGAAAAGGTAAGATTATCGTGCGCATAATGTGTAAATGACTACTTACACTACACTCAAAATACAAAATACTTACACTAAAATTTTGATTACAACAATTAAAAAATACTACTCTTGTGTTTGGGGATCCAACGTGGTTCCTATTGCATGAGATTATGTTAGCTCGGTACTCGTAACATGAGCATATAGTAATACAATACCAAACTGAAATAGAAACCACCCATTATTAAAGGGAGGTATAAATATTGAAGGATAGATAAAACATCGGAATTCCATTGCTCAACAATATTATAAATGTCTTCATCCTTTATTAAAGAGTATAAAAGGACTATTCATTTTGCATTGCTATAGACAAGCAAGAAGGGTAAGCCAATTTCATTACAATACTACGTAAATACAAAACAAAACACAAAGAATTCTTCTCCGAGGAATAGTTGAAACAACTTCACTCTTATTATCTACTAAAGCAAAAAAGTGAGAGAGGTTCAACCCTTCAAGTAGAAAGGAAGTAAAAGAAATGTAGAAGAAGAGAGTTTTTGGCTTGGAGTGTTTACAATAGGGTATTTTTCTCTAGGAATTTTGCTCTTCAAAAGGTGGAAGATCTCCCTTGAAAATGACCCCGAACATGCCTATTTATAAAGTGTCAAGGCCTAATTAAGGCAACAGACATCCACAAGGACCAATTAGGAACTTTATTGCATCAATAGACCAGTGGGAGAGGAGATTGAAGTTGAGGCAGTTAAAACCTCCATCCGGACGCCACCACCCCCTTCTAGACGGTACAAATACTCTAGAATTTTTCCTTGCAGCCTCCTTTGTTGATTTGTAGTGACTTGCCATGTGATGCCCTTAAAATCGGGGGTCTTTTGTTAAGCGTTGACTATCCGTCAACCCACAGAAATACCCGTGATTATCGACCAATCCGACATCATGTCAATAGAATCTCTTTAATCGGGATCGTTACCCACACGTATAACCCCCGTACATTATACCATTTGACCCAGCCAGGGTCCGATATACCACAATTTATCCTTATTTTATGTCCATTTATATCCTTGGAACCAAAGAACTCAAAGCCCAAAAAAAAGTATGGCACAACAGTTTTAAAATTTCAGATTTTTGGAGAACCTATCGGTAGGACCGACCGGTAGGTTGTGCCCACTAGAAAAGTCCTACCGGTAGGTCTTACCTGAAACCAAATTCTGCCTGTACGAGATCCTATCGGTAGGTGTTTCCCATTGGACCATGTTCTACTGGTAGGTCCTGCCTAGGTTTGCCTATTTCACCTGTTTTCAATTTTCAATTCATTTCAAACCTACCCAAACTCATATAACATATATTTGTACATCAAATACAATTAAAACAAGTTCTATTACAGTCATTTTCAAAAGATTACTAGTCCAAAACATGATTTCTTACAATGTTTTACAAAAATATAGATCAAAGGCCACAAGTTGGCCTCTCTTCATTCTCGAGGCCCCGAATAAGATCTGTCCACCAGTGTGTATCCCCCACCTGAAATATTTTTTTGTATAGGGTGAGCTACGCTCAATAGAGTATCTCCTACAGAGGCTACTCCTCAACCTAAGTGCATATAAAATGTGCACATGCAACAATCAACAACCATTATCCATTCCAATTAAGAATATACAATTCTATGTTGGAATGCTACTATGTCATGCCATTAAATGGGATGAGACTCATCCAACATATCGATTCAACCAACAGATCTCCATAGATCATAGGGAGAAGGTAAAAATTTTTATTTTTCTTTTCTCTATTTTCTCTCTTTCTTTTCTAACGTGTGCCAACCGATAGAAATAAGATATTTCTCTCATATTTATAGATTTCTCCCCTATTTATACTCTTTAATTGCGCGGTCCACCTCGCCCCGCACGTTCCCCATTTTCAAGTCCGTTTTTGTCTTGAAACGACTTAATTTCGTCTCGGTTTAAGTTTAAATTATTTTTATTTAAAATTTCTCTCAATTATAAGGAACTTTTATAAATTTTATTTTTGGGGATGATTGTGAGGTCACCTGGCACCTAGTTGTCCTATAAAACGTAAAAAATTTGACTATCTCAGAGTTCGATTAAAATTGATTGGACAACTCGATTTCGTGAGACGAATCCAACGATGAAGTCCGTTGTGTCATTCAAGCTCTATAGAAATACGTATATTAATTCCACATTATAGTGACAAATTATCATTTTGCCATTTTTCAGAAAAAGTTTAAATTTACTTGAGTTTCACATTCTTCTCCCCTTAAAAGAATTTCGTCCCCGAAATTTACACACACATGCACATTCAACCACATGCATATGTGACAAGTATAACATACTCATAATTACAAAAAATATACCTCCATCCTCGAATAAGAAAGGATAACTGGTATGGATAGTGTTCTCGCGCTCCCATGTCGCCACCTCCACTCTTCGGTGTTGCCACAACACCTTCAGTAGCCTCACGATCTTGCCTCATAAAATTTGATCCCGGCTATCCATGATGCGCACTGGTCCCTCCTCGAAGGTCCCATCTGCATTAACAACAAGCTCGCCCCAATCTACCACATGAGTCAGATCTAGGGTGTATTTTCGAAGCATGGAGACATGGAACACCAAGTGAACACCTGATAGATTTGGCGGTAATGCCAACCGATAAGCATTTGTACCAACCCTGTCAAGTACTTTGAAGGGCCTTATATATCTTGGTGACAACTTTTCCCGCTTACTGAACCTGACCACTCCTCTCATAGGCATCACCTTCAAGAAGACATGATATCCTACTTCAAACTCTAGAGGTCGCCGCTGTCTGTCGGCGTAACTCTTTTGTCGGCTCTGAACTGTGAGAAGACGCTTTCGTATTAAGTTCATCTGCTCTGAGGTCTCTTTAACCAATTCTGGACCCGTAGAGGGTCTCTCTCCTACCTCCATCCAACAAATCAAAGAACGACAAGGCCTCCCATAAAGTGCCTCATAGGGTTTCATCTGTATGCTCGCCTGATAACTATTGCTGTAGGCGAACTCCACTAAGGGTAGGTGCTCTTTCTAGCTACCCTTGAGATCTAGGACGCATGCCCGTAGCATGTTCTTTAGAGTCTAGATGGTCCTCTCAGACTGACCGTCCGCCTGTGTATATAAAGTAGTGCTCATCATCAATTGTGTCCCCATGGCTCGCTGAAAACTCTC